CCCTACACAGGGAAATGAACTTCAGAGGTAGTTAATTTTTAAAGTATATTATACCTGAAACTAAGATTTTTGACACCAATCCTAAGGTGTAGTGAGTGGCAAAGTGGAGAAGACGGGGGCCTAGGATATCAGCGTTCTGGCAACAGCTCTGATGTGTTCTGTGGCCTTGAGTGAGGCACGTGACCTTTGTATGTGTATTTCCTCATCTGGTAAGTGGGGATAGCAGTATCTATTATATTTACCTCAAAGGATTGTGGGGAAGCTAAAATGGTATAACATGTAAAAGGACTTTGAAATGTGTACTTTGTACAAATACTATAATATAAAATAATATCCCCTTTGGTTTTTATGTTCTTAAAATTGAAAACACCGTTAAGTATGGTCCCTCTGCCATCAAGTACTATTTAACCTGGTGATTTCACCCTGATAAAACTACTGATAAGTCTGTAAATGTCATGGCTCTTCTAAATGCAGATAGATCTGAAGACGACCCCACTTGATGACTCAACTGCCATTAGTGGTTGTACTTAGGATGTGTTTTGAATCTAAGGGACCTTTGGTGATGCTGGCTGTCTGGATCTGGTTTCTGCAGGGGTCGATCTCGAGCAGTCGAGGAAGGCAGAGGAACAGCAAATGCTGCAGGACGCCCGCCAGTGGCTCAACAGCGGGAAAATACAGGATGTGAGGCAGGCGCGCTCAGGGGCCACTGCCCTCCACGTGGCTGCCGCCAAGGGCTACTCTGAGGTCCTCAGGTAACGTCCACGCACGTGGTCTGGGCTGCACAGACCGGGAGAAGAGGGGTCGGTTTGGACGGGGCGGATTAGGTCTTCAGCTGCGCGGCGTTTCTTTGCTGCTTCCCTGCTGGGCCGCGCAGTCTCTCCTTCTGTGTTTGCTGGGACTCTTCCCTTCCCTCCTCCCACCACACCGCCCTCTAGCTTCTCCTGATGGGTCTGACGTGAGGCAGAGTTGAGCTGGACTGGCCTGAAGGGGACCTTGCGTGGCCGCCTCCGGCTCCACAGTTCATCGTTAGCACCCCTGGCACCTCCCCTTCTGGTGACATGCAGCACAGAGCAGACTGGCCATCCTTTTGGTCCTCTTTGACTCGTTAGATTAATGGCACAGGTCTCGAGCGTGCAGCATCCAGCTGGAGTAGGATGGTCACACGCACACGAGGAGTCTGGACTCTTCTCTGCCTGTCCCCCTTTCCCTTTACATCCTTCCCCGCTTTGTGTGGCTCTGCTCCTGGGCTTGCCCAGTACCTGGGCTGCTGGCGGCACCTCATGTGTCTTGTCGCCAGATGCTCTCACTGCCTCGTGTTCCACCCAGTATGAGCTTCCTAGTCTGTGTGGTGAGTGTCGGTGCACCTTTCTGCCTGGCAGCATGTTCACGTGCTCGTTTCTTGGACGGCGTCTGGAGTCCCACGATGTAGACCGCCGGCATCCACCCGGTGCCGCCAGGGCCTCAAGAGTCACGCTGTCCTCCACGCACACAGCTGGGCCGTGGCCTTAGCGTTAGCAAGCGGCCCCTGCACGTACTCCCGTGGAGTCGGAGGTGCGAGCGTGGTGTCCGGGGAAGACCAGCCAGAGAGCTAGTGAGGGAGTGAGAGAATCAGGTGCCCGACAGCCGCTTCCTGCGCTGGAAAGCTGACAGCACCCCCTGACGGAGCTGAGCTAGGCGCTGGCTGGCCTCAGGTGCCTGCGTGGTGGGACATGGGTGTGCCACGGAGCACCGCGGCCTCTGGCCGAGGGTGGTTGAAGCTTACCCGTGGCGGCTCTCAGGCAGTAGCTGGCGCCGAGCTGGGCCGTAGCGGCCGGGTGGCGGCGCAGGGCAGGGCCTGAAACGCCAGCTGGGTGGCCGCTGGTGTGGCACAGAGCTCTGCCACCGAGCACGTAATGGCTGGTTTGGGGTTTCTCCTCAGACTTTTGACTCAGGCTGGCTATGAGCTCAATGTCCAGGACCGCGACGGCTGGACCCCGCTCCATGCCGCTGCACACTGGGGGGTGAAGGAGGCGTGCTCCATCCTGGCAGAAGCCCTCTGTGACATGGACGTCAGGAGCAAACTGGTTAGTGAGCGTCACCCTCTAACGGGGCTCGGGAACAAAAGGCTTCAAGTCCCTGCTAAGTGACCAGGCTTGCTGTCCAGGCTTGGGCATCCCTGGTAGCTGTAGTTCTGCTTCCCGCCCCGTTATCCACGCAGACACGTTGGCTTTGTAACATAAAGCTCCACTGAGCCGCTCTGCTGCTTCTGTTTATGCTGAAGCCCCTAAAGCAAACACACAGGAAAAAAAAAAGATTTTTCCCCTTAGCAGAAATGAGCAGCTGGGAAGCCCAAGGCCACTGTCTGTGGTGAACTATGAAATACTTTGTTTTTACTTTTAATTCAGAGCTGAGCCCTAGTCACATCCAGTTGTTAAAAAAACGTTGTGATGATGATCCTGCAGTTTGGCTGAAAGTCTTCTTCAGCCGCGCTTGAAGTGACACAGAAGTCCTGCAACTTCTATCCCTACATCTGCTGGTTTTCTAGGAATCCAGAGACATGGCGTTTGACTTGGTAGATGTTCTTATCTACCTCCCATCTCTCCTGACCCAAGGTTCATTCTCGCATTATGGGTTAGGGTCCTTAACTGCGCTGTTTCCTAAGAGACAACCCTTCTCTCACTTAAAGGGAGATGATTCCTGGGACTTAGCCTTCAGTGCACCTGTGCCCTGGACCTCCTTCTGAGCCTTCTAAGAGCCCTTTGTTGAATTTATCACAGCAATTAAGAGCATTTTAGAATAGGTACAAGTAGAGATTTCAGTTGATCATTTGCCAAGAGGCAATAAACATTAGAAATGATGTGGTGGTTTCCTCCATACAGCTTTACAAAATATAAAGCCCTGTATTTTAGGGTTTGCTGTTTCTTATTGTGTTTCCTCTGGGATACACGAAGGTATTACCACGGTGTCGAGTAGACTAGTCAGTGAAGCAGCTGTCTCTGGAGTCAGAGGCATACAGTGGCCATCCACTAGTTCTCTGATAAAGCCCCGTGATCGCTGCGTCTGCTTCCGATGGGTCATGGCGCCCCTTTTCTCTGCCAGGGCCAGACACCGTTTGATGTGGCTGACGAGGGCCTCGTGGAGCACCTGGAGATGCTGCAGAAGAAGCAGAGCGTGGTGAGTCTGGGGGGACAGTCCACGCCACAGGCCACACCAGCTGTAGTTTGTCCGCTGAGAGTGGAGTTGGACGGCCCTGCATTCCAGCAATGGCAGTCGTTCCCTCCAGGAATATCCGCAGAGTCTGTTAGAAGAAAATATCCCAGAAACTGTTGTTGCTAAAGTTCGCTTGTTATCTCCTCATTATCTTAGAGCCTTCAAGCAGCTGAAAGGCAAACACGATGACGACGACGACTCTAGTTACCCTTGAGCTCTAGAAAATGAGCGTGGTGTGTTCAAGTCAGAAGTTTTTGCAAGTAGGGGTAGAGGACACCTCATAACTTTTCCTTATTGACTGAAAGGACTTCTTTGTTGAAAGAAAATTGATTACAGGGAGGGATATATTTCTTAAAAAGCAAACAAACCCACAAAAACGAAAACATTTGGCATTGGACAGTGCTTGGTCAGTGATTCATATTTATTCCGTTCATCAAGTATCCAAAACCCAGTCCTCTTCTCCCTCTTCTTCTAGATCTTTGATGGTCTGGTTGTCTGTGCCCTTCTGCTCCATGCAGCGCAGGAGGACCATGTAAGCATGGTACCCACGTCCAGACTGCAGGGTGGAAAACCCTGCTAATACTCGAGTGAACAGGGAGTGAGTCACACTCTGCCTGAAAGAGGGAGGAGTAGTTAGGTGAGGAGGATGAAGTCAGTCACATTAGGGGCTTGAGAATCTCCTGTTTAAGCAGAGTAGGACAGAAAACAATCACTAGCTTTCCTTGTGTTTTCCTTTGCGTGGGCTGTGGCTCAGGGCACATGAGCTCAAGTTCAGGAGAATGTGAGAGGCTGAGAGCAGTTCTGAATGAAAGACCCGTGTGGTTCAGTGACGGGACAGATCAGCTCTCCTGCCCTCCCCTGTGCTCAGCACCGTCTGGACTGGGAAGTGGAGATGCTTATTTCTTCAGGGCTGGCTGGGAAAGCTGCAGACCCAGAGCGCAGACGCAGCTTGCGGTTCAGTTGTCTCCTCTGATGAGCAGCTGGAATCTATTTCTGAGCAGCAGCAGCCTTCCTAATATATGATGATATTTTGCATGGTTAGGTGTTTGTTGCTTTTTAAATTTTTTATTCTGAAATAATTTTTAAGCTTACAAAGACGTTGTGGAAATAGTAGAGAATTCTCGTGTATCCTTTACCCAGCATGGTTCGGTCTTTGAACATGAGTAATATCCTCACTAAATAACATTTCTCTGCTACTGGGAATGGTGCCTGCCTTTGCCCCCTGCATAACTTTGGGGTCCAGGGATTTAAGTACATTTTGTCTAGAGCGTGTGTCTAAGTACCGGACAGTTTTTTCCAAGGGCTTATTTCCCACTTGGCACCTGCTTCTTCTTTAGAAGCGTTGCCAACTTAATTCACTATACGGATCATGGAGAGTTCTTTCAGCGGTACTTCTGGCGTTTTATCCTTTTACACTTAGGTTTCTTGGGACGACTGGGTTTGGATATTTGATGGGGGAGTTTTCATTGAAGCTCTAACGCCATGGATTTCCTCTTCTCATTGAATGAGGATCTTTCTCTGCCATTATCTTCCAAGGAGACACAGCACACAGCTGATGTGTTTCCCTTCTCCCCAGTTCTCTCCTCCCCTTTGGTGTTGGTCCAGTAACAGGGCCATTTTAGTTTTTCTCGTGGCTGCTGATTTTTTACCAATAGTCAACGTCTTCCCTTTTTGCTGTTTTCTCAATTTCCAGCTTCGAAGTGAAAAAGAGACACGGAATAAGCTCATTGAGTCGGACCTGAACAGCAAGTTGCACGGTAGACTCTTTAAGAAGTAAGATATTTGGGTTTGAGAAGTGTGATGAGCCCTGCTGAGTGTGACACGTTTAGCTTGAGAATTTCTACAGTGAAGAGACCCCGTGTTTGTAGCCAAATGATCTTTAAACACGTGTGGGAATGTTTGAGGGGCAAGGAGGTGAGTGGCATTGACTTGTGGGGCGGGACACTGAGCGTGGGTGGGCGTGTTTTAAATTTGTGAATTAACGGAGACTGTGTGCATTGCTTTTTTCCCAGCTGAAGGGTTCTTAGTCCCAACTGCTTCCCTAACTAGAAGGTCTGAGCTCAGGGGCTGTGTCTGTCCTGTTTACACCATACTGTCGCCTGGCATGGTCCTGGCGTGTGAGAAGCACTCGGTGAACGTTTGTTAAATGAGTTTTAAAAACATTTACCTGCTCGCCCATCAAGAAGGTGCACCGCCCGCCTGTCCCTGTGTGTTAAACGGGCTGGTTCTCCTGTCACACTCTCAAATCCAATACCAACCCTTAGTCAGCAGAAAACCCAGGGCTCAGAAGAATACAGATGTAAAGGAGGATCTGAATATATCTCTGTTCCTGCTTCCACACAGAGCTTCATAGGCTGGTCCTTCTCATACCGCATCCCCAGTGAGTGTAGGAAATGGTGTGTCCTTTCTGAATTGCGCTCAAATTTCCGTCTTTGATTTAGCAAAGAGAAGATGCTCTATGAGGAGGAGACACCGAAGCCCCAAGAAATGGAGGATGAAAACAAAGAATCCAGCAGCTCCAGCTCAGACGAGGATGAAGGTGAAGATGAGGCTTCTGAGTCAGAAACCGAGAAGGAGGCGGGTGATGCCGAGACCCTCTGTCTCCAGAGCACGGGGGGTCACTGCTTGTCACAAGGCAGGTGATGCCAGGGCCCTCAGGTGGAACCGATTCCCTAAACAGAACTTCCAAGTCTTTTTCTGTTTCCTTCCCACTATGTGAAGCTCCTTCAACTCCTGATTGGGGGATTGAAGAAGGAACATAGTCACATTTACCCTTATGACTCGTACTGATGATATACATCATGTGGAGCTTCTTAAGTTTGTTATATGGCGAGACAGGAACCCCAGTGGTGAGAGTTGCGTGCTGGGCATGTCAGAGTGCCAGGCTATACATTGGCCTGGGGTTTTGATACACAGTAAGGCAAACACTTAGGAAAGAGACACATGGGGCTTTGCTGAGTAGAGGTCCCCCTGCTGCAGAGTAGTCCTCGTGGGTAACTGGGAGCTCGTGACAAACTCAGATTTCACCTGCCCGTGTCCCGCAGTCACCGGCATGTTATTTCTCCAGACTGGTGTCCACGAGAAGATGCAGTGTCTTCAGTGAGAGGACCAAGTTAGAGGGAAGAGTCCACATTCAGTTTCTGTCAACAGTAAAGTCTGTGTTTCCCTCTGACTCTGCCCTCGCCGGCTGCCCGTCACGAAGATGCTCAGCTCTTTTCGGTTGCTGGGCCCCAGCTCTTGTGACGTGGGTCTGCCTTCACTGACGTGTTTCTCTCAGTTGCAGGAGAGCACTGCCTTTGTCTGTGTCTCCGTCTCTCAGAGGAAGTTAGAGACCCTTTGCTTGTGTAGAACAGGCAGGCCCAGCTAGGTTTGTAGTGGAGGAGACGACCTTTTGTTCACTGAGTCTTGAATTGCTATTCCTAAGCAGGCACAGCTTGCTCTGGAAATGCCAGTGTAGTATCTGTCAAAACCTGTATGTGTTCATCTTTTTAATATTTGTATTGTTTACTGAGTGCTTACATGTCTTAGGCTTCCAGTATTGTCTGGAATGAGCATCTAGTTCTGTGCCGGATCACTGTGTTAGCTCCCAAGGTGTTGGCGGAGTGGGAGGGCACTGCCTGGGCTACTGAAATTACCCACGATGTGCCCCCAGGCCTCAGGTCTCTTGTTCCCTGCAGCCCAGCTCCACGTTGCTGTTGGGGTGAAACACCCCGCCCCCCTTGATGCTGCTGCACTCCTGCTCAGAAACCTTCCATGACCACCTTCCTGACTCCGCCTGCAGAGTAAGTCCCAAGCCCTGTGGCCCGGCCTTCAAGGCCTCTCATAGTCTAGCTCCAGCTGACCTTTCCAGTGTTGTCTGTAAGTGCACACGTCTGCTCTCCAAGCTGGATCGCTGGAGTTCCCAGACGAGCCTGAGTGTCCCGCCCCTGAACGGTTCTTCGTGCTGTAGAACTCATTCCTGGCCATCAGATGTTTATCGCCATGATTTCCGTCAGAAGCTGTGGGGTCTCTGCCAGACTGGAGAGTCCTTCTCTAGGCTTTTCCTGTGCAGGAGCCTGCAGAGGAGGGACCACTCCCGGTGCTCCCCTGCCGTGTGGCCCCAGCACTGCTCATTCCTCTCGGTTGCAGCACCCTTGGGCTGGGAATTCCAGGCGTGTCACTCCCAGGTCTCAGCACTGCACCTGGCACGTGACGGGCAGCCACATCCACTGAACGTTTTGTTGACTGTACCTCGGGGATGTAGGGGGATAGGAAGGCATGTACGTGAATAAAGCCCATGTCACGTGAGAGAGATAAATGCAGCCAGTGGTGTTCACTAGTCCAAAACACTGCATTGAGTTTGGGGGTTTATTGTGACACTTTAGGGTGGAGATCAAGGAGGCGGAATAGAAAGACACAGAGCTCACCTCCTCCCACGAATACATCAGAAATACATCTACACATGGGACGGTTCTCACAGAACCGAATAACGCTTCACATTTATGCAGTGCTTATTTATTTGGTTGCGCCACGTCTTAGTCGTGGTGGGCGGGCTCCTTAGTTGCAGCACACGGGCTGTGGCACGTGAACTCTTAGTTGCAGCATGCGGGATCTAGTTCCCTGACCGGGGATTGAACCTGGACCCCCTGCATTGGGAGTGCAGCATCTTATCCACTGGGCCACCAGGGTAGTCCCTATATACAGCTTTTGAATTTGCGACACACTTAACACATTTTTATTTAATCCTTACACCCACACTCTGAGGTGATGTATTATTGCCTCCACTTTTTAGAACGGGAAAGTGACACCGCAGGTGAGGTGACCTGGGGCTCACAGCTGTGGGCGGAGTGCCCGAGCCCCCGACTTTGATCTGGGCTCCTCGGAGTAGCAGGGGCAGAAAGCTCACCCTGGGGGCAAGGGCAAGATCTCCCCAGGGGAAGGGTCGTCAGAAAAGAGCTACGTACGGGGTCTGGGAGGTGAGATGGAGTCGGTGGAGGAGGGGTGGCCCCAGGGGATGTGTGTTTCTGTTTCTGCGTCGGGAAGGCCGGGCAGGAGCCAGGAGGAGGCCGAGGCTCCAGCGGGTCAGTCTCAGAAGCTGGCGGCGGCCGTGGGCTTCCCTGTGCACTTCTGTCTGTGGACATTTTACTCCTGACTCAGAGCCCGGCTCAAAGCAGCGTCCTTTGTGAAGCCCTGTCGTCACGGCTACAAGGGTTCCTCCCCTCTTCTGACTCCTGCAGCTGTGGTTGGAACCTTTGTGTTGCTTGGACTACTTAGCGTTCGTGTTACCTCGGTTCTCCTCTTGTCTGCTCTGCTCTCCCCCACAGCGAGCTGTGGGGGCGCTGGGACACAGCGTGTGTCCTGCTGACCTTCGCGCCCTTCCTGGTGCCCAGCGCCGGGCCTTGTGCAGGACAGGTGCTCGGCACAGCCTGGCGGGGCCTTGGGGGGCGGGTGGTGCCTGAACCTCCAGGTGCCGCCTGGCACGCGTGCGCACACTGAGCAGGCCCTTGTTGAGTGCATGTCTCCTCTTTTTAAACCTCCACAGGTACAGCCTCGTAAAATGACAGTTGCCACGTGTGTTACATACAAATGTAGTCGTAAGGAATGTTAATTATATTTTGCGGTAAATGTAAGCAGTTTGACTTGGATTTGTTTTTCCCTTTCTTTTACTTATTTGACGTGTTACTTATCTACTGCTGCATAACAAGCCATCCCAAAACTTAGTGGCAGGTAGCACGACTCTTTGTACGCACCCAGTGTCACAGGTTGGTAGCTTGGAAAGGGCCCTGCCGCGGCGGCTCCTCTGTTGTCCGTGTGGCGGTGCCGGCACACTCACGAGTGTGGTGAGTTGGTGCGCGGCCGAGGGTTGGCCTTCTCCCTTCCTGGTGGCTTTGCCGGGACGTCTGGGGCAAGTGGGCCGTGTGTCTCTTGTCATCAGGCAGGCCAGCAGCCCCTGCTTCACACGGCAGCTGAATTCCAGCCGTCACCAGTGGGGGCGAGCTCCGCGCACACGCACTCTTCGGGCCTCTGCTGTGTCCCGTTTGCCGATGTCCCAGGGGCCACAGGAAGTCACAGGGCCAAGCCCGGAGTCAGTATGAGGGGTACTACACAGGGTGTGGACTTACCAGGAGTCAGCCTGTGACAGTGTCAGTGAGGTCCATTTCCTGGGGGTAGAGATGTTCCGACTGTATTCAAAGACTGCCTTGAGTATTCACAGTAGCCACAAAGATAGTGACGTTAATAATAATAAACTGTTTTCTAGGGACTTAATATTGAGTTATGCAATTTAAAAACATTTTATCTGTAATCTGTATAGCAACTCACAAGACAGGAATTTGAGTCCGTGATTTCTCAGTGAGAAAATAGAAGCTCACGTGTGCTAAGGAACTTGCCCAGCGTCCCACGTCTAGGGTGTGGCTTAAAGCTGTCCCGTAGCTCACGAGTGGGCTACCCTGGGGCTGTATTTCCGGAGTCCAGGGACCAGAGGCCCAGCAGCCGCTGGGTGCAGGCAGACGGGACTTCTGTCAGCGCCCCGTGAGGGACCCCTCCCGCTTATGTCACCACAGTGTCC